ATATCCGAGATGTGTTTTGAGCCATGCACTTGTTGCGACAACCAACCAGCAATCTCTTCTAAAATAGACCAGTTCGGGGAATCCAACAGAACCCGATCAAGGGGATTTTGAAAAAAAAAATCAAAAAAAACGAAAAACAAAAAGGGATGCCGATTCTTTTGTCTCATTAAAGTTTGCAGTAGCAGTCTGGATGAGAACCCCGAAAGGACTAAACTGAGGTGACGAACCAGTCGAATGAAAGAGTTCTTTACCACCAACAACCAACTGCTGTCAAACTTCCAGCGATTCCCCCCTCCATGAGCGTCAGTTTGAAGAGAAGGCCTGTCGATGCGATCATGCGTTTTTGCACCAAGCTTGCAGTAATTTAGATCAACTGCACGAATAGTTGTTGCTTCACACCTACCTTGTGCGCTCAACACCGTAAATCATCGTAAATTTTACATGAACCAAAATAAACGATTTCCGTTTAGTGGTCGTTTTTTGATAATGATCCAGCTGTTCAACGAGCAATTTTCCCTCCGGAAATTTAAGTGGCTGCTATTTATTATTCTCGTGATGTTCAATATTTCAGTACCAAATCAACAAACATGAAAATTCTCTAACTGTAATGGGAGCTGGGTATGCCAGTGTATAATAGCTGAGTCAACATGGGCAGATCCGACGGGCCCGTCAATTCGTGTATTTTACGGTTAAAAAATTAAAGTCAAAATTCTTAGTTCAAAAACAGACCGACGTCGTTTTGCATACCGCTCCTGCTGTTGAACTGGTGTTGTAAATTTCGAAGTATATTCACTGGCAATTGAACAATTCGATCATACATTGCTGCACTCCTTGTGTCCTAAAATAAACCATTTCGAAGTAAAAAAAACATGAAAACAGGGAAACTGCTACTCCATACATTTTTACTTACTGAACAGTTTTATTGTACAAATGTCATAATGTTTCACACCATATAAGAGAATAAAGAGGAATCTGACGGAACTCGGATTAATTGAAGGTCACCAGAAGAAAAATGAGATGAGTAGTATAATTGTTGGCCCAACCTGACCCCTGAATACGGATTTTTATCGTATGTTTTGAGCAAAAAATTAATAAAAAACTAAAGAAAGGTAAAAGCCAAAAAACTGGATAAAGCTGGTTTAAAATCCCCTCTCCCCCTCCCTTCCCTTTTTTTTCCTTCCTGTTCCCCAAGATAATTTTCTAGTCAATATTATCATTTACAAGTCGATGATGTATCTACCTCATCGTAAACTAGAAAGTAATTAAATTTCAAACTAAAGTTGAAGAATTAAAAAGATGTTATGAAGCAAATAAAAAAAGTTGACAGAATTATAACCTTAGAATAGTTGGTACAACCAAAAAGAAATGTTTCGGTCCAAAAAGTCGTACAATAACATTTTGGCCGAAATGTGCACCATACGTCAAAAACATTTCAAAGAAAAGGCGAAAATCAGACTAAGGGAACCAAAACACAATAGCAACCTGCTCAACATTACTGTACTGCACAGAAACATCATTGCTGGTTTTCAGGAGTGGCAAGTAAATTTGCTCGAGTTCAGCTCGGCTTCCCTCAGCAATTTTCCGAATTTTGGCTCGATCTTCACCGAATAACAGTCGAAAATCACCGCGATATGAAAGTGACACAATTTCCGCATAAAACTGATCAAGCGTGAATTTATCTGGCAAAAGTAGCAAAGCAGCCTGCAAAAAAATGATCCATTGTGAAACAGGACGGCAGCAGAATGGCACACAAGAAACGTTAAAATACCGAAAAAAAATGGCTGCTTTTATTCTACGCCAAATTAAAAAATGCTTTATACCCTTTACAGACTCTCCCTCCTTGGTTCCAGCCATCGAATTCTCACTATCAGAGAGTAAACACTGTTATCGCCATAGACAAGCAGACTTTTCATGACTAATTTTAAGATGCGGCGCTTTAGTGCTGCTACAGTGTGCAAAAACGCAGATCATCCGTGAGTGAGTGTGTGTGTATGTGTGTGTGTGTGTGTGTGTGTGTGTGTGTACGTGTTAGGAAACGAATGAACTTTGTCACCCACTTTCAACTCAGCAACCAGGAAAGTTGGAAATTGCTTGAGCGATGGTAGAGCATATGCTAACAGCAACTATCTGCTGACAAGGTTGTCGACAGCTTCTTCTTTCGAAGATTTTTTAGTAAGGCTACTGTCGATTCACTGCATGTGCCAGTACCAATTTACCATCGAAACAAAACGAATCATATAGTGACTGATTATCCTGCCAGCGCAGTTGTTCAAAATTTGTTAAAAAACGAAAAAGTTATAATCTGGTTTTAAAATTTTAAAGGGCTTGTTTTTCAAGAAGGTCTTAAATTACAGAGGGCTTTTTTTAAAAAAAAAAACACACACACACACATTTTTAATGAATCACATTAACATCTCACGCACAGTAAATGCTCACCTGCACAGCACTCATGTGATTCTGCTTCAGCGCAGATTGTATGCGTTCGGTAGGCC